GGGGATTATGGGTAACGCTGCAATGATCTGTTTGGTGTTTGGAGCCAAACACTTCAGAGACATGTTTTGTATATATCTGAGACCTATAATATATTGATGAAAAACAGTATGATAGGGGACCTTTCAATCAAAAAGTATATAAAAATACATATAAGCATAAGTTAAAATACAAATGTGCAATACAAAAATTTAAATTAAATAAATACATTTATACAAGTAAAATAAGTTAAAATAAAGTGTTAAATTAAAGTTACCATAACATAAAACAAAATACAAATATGTATATAAACACAAGAAGTTAAATGTGCACATAGTACTACAATATATATAATATAAGATACATTACAAACTGTACAGTGGTGTATTAAGAATTAATATTATTTATTGAATCTTAAGCTCCCCTATTAAACTGTTTTTCTTCAATTATATCATTATAGGTCTCAGATATATACAAAACATGTCTCTGAAGTGTTTGGCTCCAAATACCAAACAGTTCATTACAGCATTACCCATAATCCCCTCTGTTTCAGCCCTGTTTCCAAAGTGCTGAACCTTGGTGGTGATTGGCTAATGGTTACTCAAGCCAAAACATCGTTATGACATCATACAATGGCCAAAATCTGATCAGCTCATTTTCAGACAGGTTTTTATAGAAATGGATCAAAAAGAGAGATAATCTTTGTTCCTGAGACTTTCAGAGTCTCTTTCCACAGAGGGGACACATGTTGATGTAGAAGAGACATGAAGAAGAGGGGACACATGTTGATGTAGAAGAGACATGAAGAAGAGGGGACACATGTTGATGTAGAAGAGACATGAAGAAGAGGGGCACATGTTCATGTAGAAGAGACATGAAGAAGAGGGGACACATGTTGATGTAGAAGAGCCATGAAGAAGAGGGGACACATGTTGATGTAGAAGAGACATGAAGAAGAAGGGACACATGTTGATGTAGAAGAGACATGAAGAAGAGGGGACACATGTTGATGTAGAAGAGACATGAAGAAGAGGGGACACATGTTGATGTAGAGGAGACATGAAGAAGAGGGGACACATGTTGATGTAGAAGAGACATGAAGAAGAAGGGACACATGTTGATGTAGAAGAGACATGAAGAAGAAGGGACACATGTTGATGTAGAAGAGACATGAAGAAGAGGGGACACATGTTGATGTAGAAAAGACATGAAGAAGAGAGGACACATGTTGATGTAGAAGAGACATGGAGAAGAGGGGACACATGTTGATGTAGAAGAGACATGAAGAAGAGGGGACACATGTTGATGTAGAAGAGACATGGAGAAGAGAGGACACATGTTGATGTAGAAGAGACATGGAGAAGAGGGGACACATGTTGATGTAGAAGAGACATGAAGAAGAAGGGACACATGTTGATGTAGAAGAGACATGAAGAAGAGGGGACACATGTTGATGTAGAAGAGACATGAAGAAGAGAGGACACATGTTGATGTAGAAGAGACATGAAGAAGAGGGGACACATGTTGATGTATAAGAGACATGAAGAAGAGGGGACACATGTTGATGTAGAAGAGACATGAAGAAGAGGGGACACATGTTGATGTAAAATAGACATGAAGAAGAGGGGACACATGTTGATGTAGAAGAGACATGAAGAAGAGGGGACACATGTTGATGTAGAAGAGACATGGAGAAGAGGGGACACATGTTGATGTAGAAGAGACATGAAGAAGAGGGGACACATGTTGATGTAGAAGAGACATGAAGAAGAGGGGACACATGTTGATGTAGAAGAGACATGAAGAAGAGGGGACACATGTTGACGTAGAAGAGACATGAAGAAGAGGGGACACATGTTGATGTAGAAGAGACATGAAGAAGAGGGGACACATGTTGACGTAGAAGAGACATGAAGAAGAGGGGACACATGTTGATGTAAAAGAGACATGAAGAAGAGGGGACACATGTTGATGTAGAAGAGACATGAAGAAGAGGGGACACATGTTGATGTAGAAGAGACATGAAGAAGAGGATTTTGCACAATAGGTGACCTTTAACACCGCCATCTAGAGCTATATAGTTAAATAAGTAAATCAATATAGTGTTACAAACTAAAGTAGTTTAAAAAATGACCATGAAGACAAGATGTGCCGACACCTAATTCCTCCAAATAAAGAAATGTATTTGTGAGGATGCATTTTGGTAAACACATCTCCAGTTGGACTTCGTAGACCAACTTGGTGCTCTGTACATACAGCAGAGAGACCGGAGCATCTGTCTGACACTTAATATGCAAATGAGCTCCGCTGACCACTCAAGCATGTGTTGTCATTGCAGGAAATAAAATTGGCTCTGTTTCCGAGGTGGTGTCACAAACCTGACTTTCACATTGCACCCTGCGCTAAAACCTGAAGTTGTAAATAAGCTGCAAATGAATGTGAAACAATAAATGTGAAATGGTTCATGTTGTGATTAAATATACAGTTATTTCCGTCAGGATTTCGGTTTTATTGTCACCTGTTTATACAGATGATAAAGTACAGAGATGATGAGATGTGAAGTACGCAGGTGATTCAGAAATCCAGAGAGGCTTATAACAATGTCTCGCCAAATATTCAAAGTAACAAACATTGACATCAAAAACTCAGGGGAGGAGAATGGCAAAAAGGAGTGTGCTTGTTTATTGTATTTGTATTTTAAGAAAGAAAAGTGAAGAGACAATGATGGAGGGTTATTTTGTGTTATATACACCACATCTTTTTTAAATAAGTCATTGTGGTTTAGCTTTTTGCTGACGTGAAACTTTGCTTTTGTCCTTTAAACAGTGCAGATTAAAATAAACAGATATTGTTCTAAACTGTATTAAAGTAAACATGTATTATTTTAAACTGTATTGAAGTGAACATGTATTATTTGGGACTGTGTTACTGTAATCCTATATATATAACCTTCTCATTGACTGATTTTAATTGCCATTTTCTTAATGTCTTTCGTTTTTGTAAAGCACTTTGAATTGCCTTGTGTTGAAAGGTGCTATATAAATAAACTTGCCTTGCCTTCTCACTTACACTCACTGACCCAGATACCAGCACACAGGGGCGGACTGGCCATCTGTAGAATCTGGAAAACCACAGAACGGCCGGTGGACAAGGGCCGTTGACGGCCGGCCCTTTAATTTTTTTTGTTTAACGTCATAATTTAAGTTGCGCTTCCGGCCGACAGAGGGCGACAGCGGCCGCTAATGCAGTTGTGTGTTTCTTATCTGTCAACAAATCCCACACGAAGAAGAACAAAGACCGGCCACACAGACGCCGCGGCAGACAGGGAGAATGACAAACAATGGATACAAATAAAAGAAAAAGAAAAGAAAAAGGTGGGGCCGAGAAGGCAAGAGAAAAAAAGGTGAAGTCACTCGCAGGTAATCCTAATAAATGTCGCAAATTGACAGACCTTTTTGGCAGCAGCGCCGCTGCTACAACTACAAGCACTATCATCACCAGCAGCAGCTTAGAACAAGTGCATGATGAAGAGAATGATGAGGGCGCGATTTCATATATACAGCCAGCCTCCTGCGTTCATGATGAGGGACAGAGAGTTGAGCTGGTGGAAGAACCAGCTCAACTGGCAATGCAAGTGCAGGGCAAGAGCAAGAGGTGGTAAGCAGGGCCGGACTGGGACAATAAATCAGGCCGGGAAGTATACACCCAGCCAGGCCACTACCAGTTTTTTGTGCCATTTTGCTGGATTTATTTGTCAACTTTTACAGCGTTGCTGCCCATAGTGATAGCCCTCTAAATCTACTACCCAAAAATAAACATATGGACATGGGTTACTATTTAAAAAAATGCACAAATCTATTTAGGGGGTTACGTTTTTAAGTGGGGGTGGACCTCAAATCCTATAGGGGGGTCCGGGGGCATGCTCCCCCGGTAAGTTTTTTTTTAAATGTTGGACTTAAATGCATCAATCTGGTGCATTTTGAGGGGGAAATAAAGAGACTACACCCATATGAAACATAACTGTATATATTTAAAAAAAATCATAAGAACATGGCCATAACCAATAACATAGCTACCATATCCAATATGAAAAAACATTGAAACTTGTTTATCTATTTGTTTTTGGTTCATTTATAGTTGTGAGTGTGTCTGTGCTCCTGAACCAGCCTCACCTGTCTCCCCCTGCTCCTCTTTGAGGCAGCAGCAAAGACTAGTTTTAGCTCTCAACAAGTTTTAATAGTTTATCTTACCTTTTTTCACCTAGTTAACGTTTTTTTTAATATTATTCATTTTGATTTTAATAATCACTCCCCCCCCCCCCAATATGTGTTTACATAAATGGTGACCAAACCATTTGAGACCCACTGAGATAACTTGGAATAAGTTAACTATCTAAACAGTCCTTTACCTCACCTGAGCTGTAGTTATCAGTCTCTCAGTCTGACAGGAGAGGACTCTCCTCCACCTTGTTGTTGAAAAAGTTCCGTATATCCGTTAGCGCAGCTAGCTAGCACCAGATGCTAACAACAACAATACACGTAACCGGTGCGCGCGCTTTATCTCACTCGCTCGCGCCACACATACACTAACACACACCCTCCCGAAGCTTGAATGACACACAGAGACCAATCGAGGGCTTTAGTGTACGATCTGTATGAAAGTGGCCATGTCAGCAGGCCACATCATGTAGACAGCCAGTCACCCTCTGTGAGGCAGAGTCAGACCCACATTTGCGCAGCGTTGTGTTCACAATACATACATACAAAACAAAATCCTCAGGCCAGCAGGCCACTTAACAGGCCAGGCCATCGGGAAACCTCCCGGTCCTCCCGATGGCCAGTCCGGGCCTGGTGGTAAGTACTATAGAGAAGACAAGTATATTCAACCTAGTGTTTCCAGTTAGTGTGTGGTGTGTTGTACAAGCAATAAAATAAATACAACTGAGAGTAGGTGTAATAGACTATATTAAAAAAAAGTATAGATTAAACAAAAGTGTATTACTTGTCAACATTTAAGTATTCATTCAAGTAGTAGCCTATAGTATTATAAAAATAATTAACATTATTTTTATCATTAATTTATAATTGTCTATAGGTTGAGGATGGAACAAGGACTGAGGATGACAGCCACTCACACGGCAGCTCAAGCCTGAGGTATTTCCAACGCCCAAATTCCGACAATCACAGTCTCAATAGTTTTTTTTCCTATCACCCTCAGACCAAAACAACATATTTGACAGGACAAAGACTGTTTAAACGCATGAACGGCACAGATAGAAAATGGCTCACATACTGTGAAGAGAACCACACATTGTATTGTGGAGTATGTTTAGCATTTGCCAAGCCATCTGAAAACAATCCCTTTGTAAGTGGCATGCAGGACTGGAACCATATCAGTCAGAGAGTAGAGGAACACGAAAGGACCATCATGCATAGAATGTGTGCGGAGGCCTACTTTTTGAGGGCATCCAAATCAGACATAGCCAGCCTACTACATGGATCACAAGTAGTGGCCCACAGAGATCAAGTGAAGAAGAAACGGCAGGTGTTGGAACGTGTGGTAGATGTAGTAAAGTTCATAGGAAAGAGAGGACTTGGCTACAGAGGGAAGGAATATGAGGCAGCATACACTCTAGATCAGGGGTAGGCAAGTAAGTTTGGCCGTGGGCCAATTTTTGCTGAGCCGCAAGATGGCGGGCCAGAACATAATCAAAGCCTAATTCAAGGAATTGATTTTGGTAAGAGGGCGCAGCGCCCCTGTTCCCCGGTTCAGAAAAAACTCTGATATCGCTGATAAGCCTCCCCATCAACACTCTGATGCGCAGTCAGATCCACTGATTGGTTCACTGATGATATAGGCGCCCAATCCAGAGCCTCTGGCTAGACCCGCCCAAAGGGAGGCTCGTCCTCTCTAGCCCCATTGCAAGGCAAGGCAAGGCAAGTTTATTTATATAGCACTTTTCAACACAAGGCAATTCAAAGTGCTTTACAAAAAATGAGTCCCAAAGCCAGGGCTATTATCTGTATTTTAACAGACTTATCTTTTAAATTGAGGTATATTTATTGTTCTCTTCAAAGTTTATTTTTCTCTGAAATTGTAGGGAGGATGGTCCTCCCTTTCCTCAATGGACGAGCCTCCACTGAGTAAAGTAACTAGCAGTGTTATTTAACATGCTTTTATTCTGATAAGTATTGTCAAGTTCTCTGGGTTTTTGGCATTTATTTGAGTGTTTGCCCACATTTGAGAGGCTTGAGGGACAACTGGAATCCTTTTTCCTTTTCTTTATTTCAACTTTTCAAGGACACATTAGGATTCTTTCAGGTTGAAAACCTTTAAAAAATACCAAAGGACAAAATAAATCAATTACAGCAGTTTTGCTTTGCAATTTCATATATTATAACCTAAATTAATCAGTAACCAAGTATTTTACTCAAACTCAATGTATTTAATAGTTAAATAAGTACTTTAATTGACCTGGTTCCCCCCAACCACACATTTGCCATATGTGACCCGCTCTAGCGAAATCAGTCGAAATTCGCAACGGCTCATTTCAAAATAAACGTGGATTTGCGTAAAAAAATAGTTTTTCGGGGATCGGGTGTTTTGTTTGATTTTAAATAAACAAAGTCTTGGCTTTCAGAATATGACATTTTTATTTCAAAAATCACACGATAAATACATGCTTGTAAAATAAAAAATAAAAATAATATTTCATTTTTGATTCTCAAAATTACGGGCCAAATATTATTGCTGGCGGGCCAACAATGGCCCGCGGGCCGCCTGTTGCCGACCCATGCTCTAGATGATGACAACATTGACCATGGGAATTGTCTAGAGCTCATCATTCTTCTTGGAAAATATGATGTGTGTCTGAAAGAACATATCACTGAGTGCACAGAAAAAAGTAAGAAGATGCACCAGTCACACTCACAGGCTAAAGGTCGGGGTTCTGCTGTAACATTCCTATCCAAAACAACTGTAAACAATGTCATTTCCACAGTGCAGAGGCTAATTCAGGAGACCATTGCAAAAGAGGTTGCTGAAAGCGGTATGTTTTCTGTACAAATAGATACAACCCAGGACATTACGTCCCATGAGCAGTGTTCTGTGATTCTGAGATACGTCACAGACACTGTCCAGGAAAGGCTTCTTGCAGTGGTCAAATGTGAAGCATCCACTGGCCAATATTTTGTCCAGATGCTGACAGATGTAATGGATCGTTTTGATTTGGATATCAGCAACTGCATCAGTAATGCTACAGATGGTGCATCCAACATGCAGGGTCAATATCGAGGCTTCTCCGCACTCCTGTCATCCAAAGTCCCAAACCATGTACATGTTTGGTGCTATGCACATGTGCTAAACCTCGTTCTGTCTGATACAACTGAAGTGTCCATAGCTAGTGGGTCCCTTTTCTCCCTCATGAATGACATTGCTGTGTTCATTCGCGAGTCATACAAAAGAATGAATGTGTGGGAGCATAAAAGCCAGGACACTCGACACAGACGCCTCTCCCCAATTGGAGAGACACGGTGGTGGGCTAAAGATGTAGCCTTGAAGAAGATCTTTGGCTCATTTGGAAAGCCAGACCAGTCTCTGTACATTGATGTCTTCATGACACTAAGTAAATTTCAAAGTCAGGCCAATTTGAAAACTGCAGTGCGTGTCAGAGCAAGAGGATTCCTAGAGGCGCTCCTGAGGTACGAGACAGTGTTGACTGCCCAGCTTTTCCTTCGGATTTTTGAAGTGACAACACCTCTTTCAAAATACTTGCAGACATGTGGACTAGATATCCTCTCTGCTCACAGGATGGTTCAGGACACTTAACATGCACTGATGAACATGACAAGAGATTTCATGACAGTGAAGACAGCTGCTGATACTTTTGTTGAGTGGGCAAATGCAAAACTGGAGGCAGAAGAGGACTGTGAGCTTGAGTTGGAAACAACACTTCCACTGAAGAGGAACAGGAAAAGGAAGATGATGGCTGGCGAAATGGCAAGTGATGAGAGATTGACAGATGCAAACAGGGCTTATGAAGTAGAGGTCCATAACCAGGTCCTGGATACTGTCACAGACAGTATCAAACGACGCTTCATGACCCACGGCACTCTGTATGGTGACTTGGCTGTCCTTGATCCAAGAAACTTTCCCCAAGTGTGTTCAGCAGAAGCTCTGCCTGACTCTACATTTCAAGATCTAAGCAAATGCTTGCTTAGGTTTGACAGCAGGGCAACTGCTGCAAATTTGCAGTCTGAGTTGAAGTGTCTGGCAGCCCAGTGGCCACGGCTTAAAATGTCTGCACTTGAAGAGTACAGAGTACGAATTTGCTCTGGTTGTGAGGAAGAAGAGACAGAGGTTTTAAACAAACAGTGCAACTCTTGTAAAGAATGCTCAATATGTTGCTACCAACTTCTGAAACGCTACAACCTCTTCACAGATGCCTATCAGCTCCTTGGTTTAGGATACAAGTTTCTTCTCACTCTGCCTGTGACACAGGTAGCTTGTGAGAGAAGTTTCTCTGTACTCAAGCACATCAAAAGCCGAATAAGGAGCACACAGTCACAAGAACACCTGGAAGCATTCATGCTTATGTCAACAGAAAAAGACATCCTCATGTCCCTCGACAATGACTTGGTCATCGACAGAGTTGCAGAAAAAAGCAACTTACTAAAGAAACTGCTGATTCCCCAACATTAGGTTTACAAACCGCCTCAGACAATCTTGTTTATTTCTTTTAGGTGAGAATGATCCCTTAAACTGCAGCCTAATAAACAGCTGATTTGTGTGTACTGTTATATGATGTCCCATGTGTTAAGACATCTGAGGAGTGTCCTCCCTATTCTCTTTAGGGGAGAATTATCCGTTGAACCGCATAATAAACAGCTGATTTATAATAACTAATAGTACTGTATTATTTGATCTGATCTCTGATCTCCACCACCACCCCCCCCCCCCCCCCCTCCCGTTGACATGACATGTGGCCGGACTGGGTCATATTCCAGGGCTGAATTTTAGTCCCAGTCCGCCCCTGCCAGCACACACACATATTCTTTTCAAGGTTCTTTCTGGGGCCAATATAATCTCAGGCACCAATATATCTGTGGACAATGTTTGATTGTCTGGGAAAGAATAGTTTGTGTGAAATATTCCTTGGGAAAGTAAAGGAGTGAATTCAGGTGCAAGATAAAGATTGACTCTGTCCTTGTTTACTTCCGAAGCTCTCACGCTCTGTTCAGATGTAAAATACTTTTTCCCAGAACTCTGATTCGCTGTATTGGTCCCGCCCAGAAGTGAAATTGGCCAATGGAGACCTACCAGCTCACGGTCTAGGGCTCGCCCAGAAGTGAAATCGCCAATAACAAATAGCTAGGGAGGAGCAACCAGCTCATCAGTCATCAAGAGACACGCGGAGCAGAGGTGAACCTTCCACCACCGCCATTAGGCGCATTCACACCGCAGTACTTTTCCCACAAAGGTTCATGAGAACTTAGTTCATGAGAACTCTTTAGTTCTCATGAACTAAGTACAGATCGCGTTCACACCGGAATAAGTCCCTGGGGGTGGTGGATTAGGCAAATGAAGCCGCTGACGTCACTTCTTCTTCTGCTTTGGGTTTACTGGCAGGCCGCAAACCACTTCACGGCGTATACTGTCGCCCAAAGTCCCCGGCCGGAAGTCCCCGGAGTTGGGGACTGGCTTCAGTAGAAGCTCCGAGTAAATCGCCAGAACGCCGACACCTCCTCATCTCCACTGCTCCCATGTTTTATTTTGTGTTGCCATAAGTTAGTCTCTCTGCGTTTCTGCGCTGGGCTAATGCTAATAATGTTAATGCGAGGATAATAAAATGGCAGCTTCACAAAACTTTTTGGGAGTTTTACGGGGCGTGGTTTGCAATCCGCCCAGGCCAATCAGAAATATAGCTCTTTTCTCACAAGAGAGCCGCACGAAAGTCCCTGCTCTCTAGCAGGGACTTTCGTGGGGGTAAAAAGGTTCTCGTGAACTAATTTTAGTACCGGCTCTTTTTGGTGTGAACGCGACAAAAGAGTTCTCATGAACTAAGTTCTCATGAACCTTTGTGGGAAAAGTATTGCGGTGTGAATGCGCCTAATGGGTGGTGCTCCAACAAAATGCAGCCAATTCTTGAAATAAATAAAGACTGAGGGCTTGTTATTGACATTTTAATTGATAAAGGTTATACGAGATGATGGAAGCCATGTTCATTATGGTTGCATTCCTGTAACCCACAGTATCGGGACTAGTAATGGATACAAAGCTGTATTATATTGCAAAAGCACTTTATATGATGTTGAATCAACCTGTCATTTTCCGATATATGTTCATGTGCAATTCCAACTTTATTACTTTTATTTAGTAGGTCAAATTATAGTTAGAAAAGCTGAGGGCAGCTCAGAGGTCCTACAGGTGAAACGCAGAAGAAGTAAAGGCATGACTTATTAGACCTAGTGGACAGGGATGACGTATTTACCCGGAAGTAAGCTGCTGGTTCCCTCGACAAAAAAGCAACGGGATTTTTCAATAGGATCTGGGAAAATAGCTGGAAATAAGGTCTGTGGAAAACGAACCTGTTTGATAAATGCACGTTTTGTTCAGCCGGATAATCTCCACGTGTCTTCCCTACTTTTATAATTATCGAAATCATAAATCTAGTCGCCAGAAGTAAAATGCCAACGTTATGCTATAAAGGAACTACAGCAGGGTCGCACGACTTCAACGTCACACCAACTTAAGATCGATATTAAAAAAATACAGACTCAAAAAAAGTTGAAGCGTTTCTTTTAACAGTTTGCAGGAGGCAGGAACTTGCTTTCAAGCAGAACAGGGGCAAACAAACTTAGCGGGAGTGTTAACGTGTTCGGTGTAATGACATAAAATGGCCTCCACAACTTCTGTAGTCCTATTCAGCCACTTGTTAACAACCTCATCGTTTTTCAGACTCGTCAACTCTTCAGAAATCACCAGTGGGGTCACTGCTGATGTATTTAATGTCGTAGAACAAAACGTGATCTATCTCTTAAATGTGTCTCAACCACAGACCTTATTTCCAGCAATTTTCCCAAATCCTACAGAGAAATCCCATTGGCTCTAAGACGAGGGAACCGGTAGTGGTGAAATGCTAACTAATTTCCGGGTTTTAGGACTTGTCACTGCACCACTCTATTATGCAGCCACGTTACAGGGATGTTGGTAAGCTAACGTGATGAGTAGTTCTATACAAACAGTGACAAGGATGTACATTGTATATCCAAAGTAACAGCAGTAATACAGATATAAGAGTTATGTCAACGTTTTATAATAGGTTCACCGGATAAATGTTGAGTGTCTCGTGTGATGCGTCACCTGCTAAATTACATGGCTTATGCCTGTAGTGTTTATGCAGACTCAACTTTTTATACCTAGCCGAGAGCATCAGCCATGTTGCAGTGGTGTGTTTGTGTATTTCACAACGAAAATGGTAAAAGGATTTTGTTTTAAACGTATGCGCGTCTGAGAGTCCCTTTAGTGTCCATGTGTGCAACACATAAAACATCTTTCACTCAGTGGAGTTAACACATGTTCCATTTTATAAAAGGCTGAGGATATATGTTCTGTTCTTTCCCTAATCTTTAAATCCTGAGCAACAGGGGGGATGGAGCTAATTAAGGTGAACTTAAAAAAAGGTATGGCGTGATATTATGCAAAAATGCATCATTGTGTGTTTATACAAGAAACTACTGGGAATAAATACACATACATTTCTACCTAATTAATGTACTTTGTTTTGTTGGCTGGTCATGCATAGCGCAGTTTCCATGCCAACTCAGGTGGTAACTAGGGGACTGTCGTAATTGGCCGACATTTTTATCCCTTTGTGTTGTTACTTTGGAAAAAACATTTTAATCAGTAGACCTGTGAAGCTGAAAATTGAGCGCCGGGACCAAGCAAGGAGGCAGAGGCAGAACGTCCAAAAATACAACCCGGTGTGGGCATTTATTAAATCATACACATATGATATGACACAGCCTCAATCTGCTGCTCCTGTGCGCACAGTCACCAGCCACCACCAGGATCTCACACACACTCTTTCTAACAGCAAAACCCCAGAGCCTAAATGCCCAACCCAATCAACCCAACAGGACACAGGTGAGGGGGGAGGAGACAACACAGGGCACCAGGTGCACACAATCAACGACAGACATTGGGGAAGGGGAACACTTTTCAACAACAAAAAAGCTAAACAACCCGTAACGGAGGCCGAGATCTATGAGCCCAGAGATCACCTCTGTGACAAGACCTCAATTCATTTTATTAAAGCCATAATACTCATGAAGGTTTTATTTGATGGCATTATAGAGATCTTGGTCATTGAGCCAATATCTGAATCAAACTCTACGGTGGCCGACGCTCTGCAATCACTTCAATTAGGGGAGAAATGCACCGCAGTTTCAGAAACAAAGCTATAATAAAAACACAAATGTGCCAAAACACATGCAAATGAAGAAACATCTCTACCAACTTCACGAAACATGCACAACTAAAAGCGTTGCATCAACAAAATACTGCAAATAAAAAACCTGCAAGATGCTCAAAACTTATTTTTCAACAGAGTATGACCTTTAATATCCCAGTGTCACTCACGATGATGGTACAAAACAAGAATATAACCATTTCATATGTAAATAATCCACGTTTCACTTTTTTTCCAATTTGTTAAGGTCTTACCCATCAGTATCGTCACCTTAGTATTGTATAACATATTGGGGTCAGGTAAACACACGTCTGTTTCATTTTTTAAAGTGCTCAAACTAGGAGTCAAATTTATTTTC